TTTTTTTTTGGCAATAGAAACAAATTCTATCTCCAATACCAGTAAATTATATCCCTTTAATTAAAAAATTTCATGTAAAATAAAGTCAAACGAACTCCAAAAAATACTTTTATTTCAACATTTTTCACGTGGAAAATTATACCAACACAATAATTTACAATTTCTAGCAAAATAATTTCCAAGTAATTCAATTCTCTGAATTCTTTTTTTTCCATCCAAATTTCATCTTTACAATCAAACGGAGCCTAAAAGTTACCTGAATTGAGATAATTCTCTATTCGCTGTGATCTCGAAATGAGTGCCCTTGTCAAAATAAAATTTGAACACAATGTATTAAGATAAATGGTATATTCACTTCTTACTTATTTTGATTGCTTGAAGAAAATTGATAGAATGTGTTGCTCTTGATTTATCAAAGTTTCACACTTTATGAGAGTGTACTATCATGAACTCTAACAAAACTATTAAGAGTTAATTGCCCAAATAGTCACTGTACTTTGTCGAAAATTTCCAGGAGGCATTGAACTTCAAAATATCCCTAAATAGCTACTGAACTTTGCTAAAAGTTCCTAAAAAGTCACCGAAATTCAAAACTTTCCAAAATAGTTACTGAACTTTACAAAAAGTTCTTATAGAGTCACTAAACTTTGTTAATTGTGACCCCATACGTCACTAGTTTAGTGACTCCCTAAGAATTTTTTGCAAAGTTCAATGACTATTTAAGAAAGTTTTGAAGTTCGGTGACCTCCTAGGAACTTTTGACAAAATTCAATGACTATTTAAGAAAGTTTTGAAGTTCAGTGACTCCCTGGAAACTTTTGGCAAAGTTTGGTAACTATTTGGGAAATTAACTCTAAGTGTTAAGCATTTTTTTATCTTTCCAATATGTTAATTATTCACCTACAAAATAGTTGCCTCCTCTTTATTTTCTATAACTTGTTTTGAAAAGATAACAATACAAATGATAAACAGTGTCATTTGCTATACTATGCTCCAACCAACAAGCAAACTTTTTAAATGAAAAAGGATTAAATTATTTAGAAACTTTTACTCCAAATGGTCTTTTTGAAAATTATGATCTTGAGGTTTACCTAAACTGAGGAATGAGGTAAGAATATGAAGAAATTGAGACTAGAACATTGCTTTGGACCCAAGTGGATAGACATCCAGTGTTTGAGGCAAGTTCTACCAGAGGCACCATGCATCTCAGTTCTCAATAAATATAGTCTTTGAGTCCAAGTTGGATATTAATTTTTTGGGCTGGATATTAATTGTTGGACTGCATTAGGATATAAATTTTATAGTTCCACCGCTTTGATCACATTTGTTGGGTTGGATATTATTTTTTTGAAAAATTCCAATACTTCAAAAAAGTATTGGGCCTAGACTACAAACGGCTCTGCCCTAATCGTAATTGTAACAATTATAAAAATTATACAGTTTTCTAAGATAAATACATGTAATGCAACAACATCTACTTTTGTTGAATGAATCTTGTAAATAAGCAAAAGGGACTAGGGTTACATGCAACCAAATAAGCTATTGTGCAAAAGTGAGAATATACGAGGTTTAAATAGTCTAATAAGTAAAATAACTAAACTATCCTAAACAAACAAGTAAAAATTTCAACTTTAGCCTTTTAGCAATACAAAATAACATAATGAAAAATACTATAGTAATTATGATAACACCATCCCTAAAACTCATAATGTGACAACAAGAAGCATTGGAGTTTGTTAATCAAAAAATGAAAGCATTCAATAGGGCGGGACTTTGTAAAAGGTCAGCAAGTTGTGTCAAAGAGGGATAAAAAGGTACGGTAACAATGTCATGCTCAAGGCAATGACGAATGAGATGAAAACAATTTCAATGTGCTTTATCCTTTTATGGAACATGAAGTTGTGAGATATCTGAATAAAAATCTTATTATCACATTCATAGAGTTGGAGTATATTTGCAAGTAACCAACACAATCATACAATTTCAACAATAGTGAACATCGTAACACAATACTGAGCCTCAATAGAAGATCAAGAAACGATTGTTTGTTTCTCACTATTTCAAGTAACAGAATCACAAAAAATAAATGAAAACCAATGGTAATTTACGATTAGTTAGGTCACTAGCTTAATTAGTATCGTGGTATGCATGTAGCTCTAAAGATGAGGCTGATGGAAATAAAAGACTCTAAAATCAAATGTAGGAGCATACTTTAATTGAGATAGAAGATAACTCTTTGGAGAATAAGCAACCTCTATGCCCAAGAAGTAACATATGGAGCCCAAGTCCTTCATTTCAAATTGAAGAGTTAAATTTGACTTAATGACAACAATAGCATCATCATCATAACCAGTACTAATCATGTGATTAATATACAAAGAAAGAAAAATATGACCTACTGAGATACACCGAACAAATAGAGCAAAATCATGATAACAAGAGGAAAAACTAAGAGAGATGGTAATTGATGTGATCCAAAGGGGCGTCAAAAATTATTAAGAAGCTTAAAGACTCGGCGCATGTTGATAAGGAGCCAAGACCAAGAATCGAGCTAAGTTTGAGACCTCGAAGAGCCAATAAAGTCGTCCAATTACTTGATTGAGCTATGAAGTACAAAATATTGTAGTTAATAAGCCAAATAACAACTTATACCTTGGTCTTGAAGGTGAAATCTTGTTTGGTGGGTTGGATTCATTGTTTTGGAAGATATATGAAAAAAAAAGCGTGGATTAAAATGGGCATAACTTCAACTCGTGTGTCTGTCCATGAGTACAATCCGGATTCATCATAAAATTTTGCACAAGGAAAAAGAGGTATCAAAATTAATGTTATGCGACCTCATAGCACAAAAGGTCTTGCGACCACATGCATGCCTACCGAGAGTAATTAAGGGCTACAAGATTGTTCCATGCGACCGCAGGCC